ATATATATATATATATATATATATATATATATATATATATATATATATATATATATATATATCATGCATGTCTGTAGCAGTATAGTGGTCTTTTACATATAGTGCACTCCACGTCCTCTTTTATGGGGTCTGGGTTTTTTAACCCAACTCCTCCCTCAATTTTAGTTTAAAGCCCTCCTAATAATTTGAGCCACTCGTTTTCTGAAAAACATTCTTCCCAGTTTTTGTGAGGTGCAACCCATCCCTTGCCAAAAGCCCATTGTGGAGGTAATGCAGACCATAGTTCAGGAATCCAAAGTTCTTTTGGCAACACCAACCCTTTAACCATTGGTCTACTTCTAGAATCCTTTATTCTCTTACTGGATGTTGACCTTTCATTGGCAGTACAGATGACAAAAACTACCTAACACCTTAACTTTCTTGCCTAGCTGCTTTTATTCAATATTGTTTTCAGGTTTGTTTTTGTCTCATTGGTCCCTACATGTAGTAGTAGAAAAGGGTAGAAAAGGGTGTGGGTTTTATTATTTTGGTTGGGGTTCTCAGCCATATCCTTGATTTTTGCTCCAGGAAGACAACATATCTCTCTGAATTGACTGTCTGGTCTACAAAGGGTTAGTTTTGTTCCCTTGAGAATCTAATCTTCTATCACCAATACTCACCTTTTTTTCCCTAGGGAGATACTGAACTAGACTGCAACTTCCATCATCTCCAGACATCACAATCTGTTTATTTATTTTTTTATTAGAGTTGTAATCCAACAAATCTAGAGGATGACAGTTTGAGAAAGACCCACTGTATAACCTATAAAACCATGACTGGCACACGTTGCTGCTCATGATGTGGACATATTGGTATAGAGTTGGGACAGAGAATTAGCTTAAAAATGGCTGAAGGATTCACTGATTATTTCTCTACATTGATAACTTTCAGGCATAATTAAAATTTCTAGAAGAAGGTGTTCCAAAACCTCTCCAAGTTCAAACATGTTTCCAGGGGAAATAAAGTGGACTAATTCCTACATTTCAAATAAATTGATTATTTTTTTCAGGCTTCTTCAATGTGGTTCCAGACTTCTATACAGCATAAACATAGGCTTTTTGGCTGGGAATTCTGGCTGTTGGAGCCTATCACAAGTGTAATTTTGATCTGAAATTCAATTTAATTCTGAGACATTTTACATGATCACAACTGATAATGCTTTAAGTAAGATTTGCTGTATATACCTTACTTACTTAAACTATTATATAATGTAAGAAATTTCTTTTCCCTCATTATATCTTTATCTGTATCAATAGAGAGCTATACTTCTGATCTTGACATTTCTACAAGTTCTGTGGAAGAAATAAGCACCTCTAAGTTAAGTAAAGGTAATATCTAATTTTGTTTTCCCCAAGATGAATTACCATTTCTTCTGCTCAGTGCACCTTGAATAGCAACTAAACTTTGCATCCATGGGCTCTGAGTATATTGACTGTAATTTTGCACTGCAGCAAACCACAATTGGAACTGGCAACTTGGTAGTTAAGTGAAGCAATCACTATGTGAAACCATAACTCTGCTTATGATCTTACTTTCCTTTGTTAATTTTGCAAATGTGAGGATTGGTTGCAAAGTTACTTTTTCATCACTGCTATAATTGCAATCAGTTGCTACATGAAATAGTTCCTAAAGGAGTAGCTGTACAGCACAACATGAAGCAGAAAAGGCTTTTGGCCTATAGGAAGAAACTATCACAAACAGAAGTATCTGTAGGGTGTAGCAGTAGAAGACAAATGACAAAAACCTCATTGCGTTGTTATTATCATTCTGCACTTTAATGGTGTGGAGTGTGAACCTATTTGTCCTGTGATCGGAAAGATCCTCCTCATTTAGAACCTTTAAAAAATGAATTCAAAGAAAATATTTAACAGACATAGCAATAGCAGTAGACTTATATACCGCTTCATAGGGCTTTCAGCCCTCTCTAAGCAGTTTACAGAGAGTCAGCATATTGCCCCCAACAATCTGGGTCCTCATTTTACCCACCTCGGAAGGATGGAAGGCTGAGTCAACCCTGAGCCGGTGAGATTTGAACCGCTGAACTGCTGATCTAGCAGTAGCCTGCAGTGCTGCATTTAACCACTGCGCCACCTCGGCTCTTCATTGACATTCTATTCAATATATGTTTTACACTGAATTAAAGACTAATTCAAGTGAAAACTAATTCAAAAGCTCTATGTGAAAAGTTCCTATTCTTTTTTCTGTAGAAAATATTGCACATGAAGTGAAATATAATGAGAGGCATATTGAAGGTAAGATATTAATGTTTTTACCTATTAATTCAATTGTTGTTTTTGTTATTACTGTATTTTCATGAATTGCTGTAAATGGGATATCTATCCTCAGTTAAACAGCTTCCAAAAGATATTTTATTATTACAGCTTCTAAAATTGTTGTCCTGAGTTCTGTAGACAGGACTTGCTCTTTCTCCACCTAGATTGTAAATAAATTAATACAGTGCAATGCCCATTTTATTATTCATTTTTATCAAAAAAATGAGGCAATGAAAAAAATACTTAATCTTTGCCAACAAATTCTGAAAAAGATTCAACAGAAAAGAGTACTCTGTATACGATAAAGTTTATGTTGATAGTATGTTGACTTACAATATATACACATTTTAGGTACAAATACATTTGTATTTGCTATTAATACTATACAAGGATATTATTCAAGCAGCATTGCATTTTTAATTCTTTTTTTAATACACATATCCCTTTTTAAAAAATTGATTGATGTTTTATGTCTTAATCCAATCTTCCTGTGTCTTATAAAATGCTAAATCCCATTATCAAATCACAGAAATCTGTGGCATTAGATTAGATTACTAAAGTTAAATCTTCCTGGTTTTGTTTTGTTTGAAGAAATCTGTATATGCTGTGGAGGGTTTGAGATTCACACTCAACATCCTTTGTTTCATGGCGGAATGTGTGCTCCTTGTTCGGTGAGTAGCTGTCAAACTTGATCACTTCTGCTTCTGTTCTTTTAGCTTGAGTCATACTCCTTCATCCAACATAGTGAATCTTTCTGCTGGTTCTGGGATGTAAGAATTACTAGCCATGGCATAGAGTTAATACTAGCCTTCTTCTATGGCACAGAGATGCACTATCTGAGACCAAGAGATTGCAGAAATCCTCCAAAAGGCTTCAAAAGTTGTTTTTTGCTACTCTGATGTTTAATGTGATTAACTGGAGATTAAGCAATCCTATTTATTTACTATATTTCAGCTAGCGACAACTGCAAATATTTGATTGGCTCATATTCCTAGGAAGGTCAATGAAATCATGGGATACAAACATGAGATAATGAGGCAGGATTATAAAACTAAAGGGGTTAGAAAGAAGAAAGGGGTAATATTTCATGACTTTTCTTTTCAGGGAGTTATTTTTGCTTTCTGAAAGCTCTATTCAACTCCCAATATTTATTATTCCTAACTTATCAACATTCCTTGGCCTTCTAAATATTTTATGGCTAAGCTGACATTGTTAATTTCCTTGGGATAGTATATTTGGATTAAAGAATTTTAACTGATCTCTAATATTCTCCTTCAGTATTCTTTCTCTCTCCCTCTCTCCCCCCCTCTCTCCCCTTCTCCCTTTCCCTCTATCCCTCCCTCCTCTCCCCCTCCCTCCCCATTAACCATGGTATTCTTCAGCACTGGGGGGCACTGAGTTGCGTATTTCTCCTTTTTGAGGGGGCAGTTTAAGTCAACTTGGATGGGAATGTATCTCAGGCCCCTGAAATATCTGAAGCCACAGCATTTAGGGCTTTCTCCAATTCTATTCAACAGGCTGTAAACATGAAACTATTGGGAGAAGTTACCTATCAATACAGGATCAGATGTTATCAGAATGCTAAGACTACTCAATTTTATATCTTGATCCTGGGTCAAGAAAGCAATATGGCTGAGAAGCAATTAGTGTTCCTTGAAAATAAAACTAAAATGGATGTCTTGTGGATGTTAACTGAAATAGCAATAGAAGAAGCTAGTGGGAATGATCAGCGGTGTTGGTATTATTTGTAATACCTATTTAGTATTAGTACAGTAGTCATTTACAGCATCACTGGAAATGCCTAACAATCCAAGTAGTCTTTCTAAGTAAACTATATTCAGACCACTTCCTATTTATAAAATGAGACTAATTATTTTAGCCTACAATATTTTAAAGTGTTTTATAACAGGCTAAAATGTGTGTGTGCATGTGTGTGAATTACGAGTAAACAATATTATGAATTACGTTCATATAGTATTCAGTAAATAGTATTATGAATTAAAATAGTATTATGAAATACGTTTTGTGTCCTTGTTCTTTTTATAAGGAAAGGTTTTTTGAAAGATTCTTCCTGTGTGATGATGATGGCTACCAAGCTGATTGTACCATCTGCTGCTGGGGCAAAACTCTAATAATGTGTGATCATTCAGCATGTCACAAGTGAGCAATAGCAAATGCTACAAATGAAAGTTTAAAATGCTACAAAGTGTGAAGTTGAAAAAGTCTTTGTTCTGCAATGAGACTTTAAATGGAAAGGGGAGGGGATAAAATATTCTTTTACTTGACTTGACTTGATGGTGCATGTGAAATCCTATTTATTAAAAATCATCAAAATTAATATCATAATATTCATCTATTTTGCTGGATGTGCTTATTTGACAGCAAAATGTTATGAAGTAGAAAGTGGTGCTCTTTCTAATAGGGAATGAACCATCATGAAAAAAACCCCCATCAACTAATCTTTGCAGTTAAGACTATTCCCTACTCATGTCACCTTTTTTGGCAATTAGTAACTCTAATGCAGATAAAATATAAACCTCTAGATATTCCTGAATTACGAGTTTAGGAATCCCAATCAGCACAGTTAGTGGCAAAGTATGCTGGGACTTACAGTATGCTTCCTCCCTGATCTCCACATACTAAGGTGTGTGCCAAAGTTTTGTAATAGATTTTAAGAGTCTTTTGTATACTCTTAAATAGCCAAACATACAAAATACCTCAAAGGTATTTTAATAGCACTTCTTGGGACCAGCAAACTATGTTATAAAAAGGCCAGATATACTTAACAGAATGCAGCAAGGCTCAGCTGTTCAGGGAACAAAACAAGAAAATAATACTTTGTGCCTTTAAACAATTTTATTTTTAAATTTATTTAGATGCTTTTGTGAAGAATGTGTGGACACCCTTGTTTATCCTGGGTGTGCAGAAGAAATAAAAGAAACAACTACCTGGATATGCTTCATGTGTGCACCTCAATATGTAAATGGATTGCTAAAGAGGAGAATAAAATGGCATGCAGTTCTGAAACATTTCTATGATCAAGAATCTGTAAGGAAAAACTCATTTAAAAACATTCAAGTATTGCTTGGCTTTAAATTAACTGTAATTTTTGTAGAGGATTTTACACAGAATAATTAGTTAAATTAATTGATTTCTGATAGGGATGCTATTCAGACAGAGAATACAATCATTGTTTTATCAGTAGATGATGTAAATGTAGAAAGTTGAAGAAATGTAGAACACCCTTCATACATGAAGGAAGTGGCAGCACACTCTTTCAGCTGACACTTTACAACTATGAATTCTGGCTAGATAGATATCATAACTTCAAAAGCAAATGAGCATTTATAATCCTTATCTTTCCTATCTTGTCAATTCTCATGTCCTGTAAAATCTTGTAGTTCTGAATTTTGAACATCTAGAAAATGCATCTATTTTTAAATGAAAGATTTTTCAGAATGGCTGGTTTAATTTCATAAACCTCCAGTTCACTCGTAAGAAGGTAAAGAGAGGCAGGTAGTCTTTGAGACCTATTTGAGGGCATAGGAAGCATGCCCAATTCTGTTGTATTGCTCTTAATGTATAATCAAGCAACATTCTTTTTTTAGTATTTGATATTTGTAGCAAATATTTTTTTAAAGGAATATAAAAATGAATACATATTAATATAAAGTAAGAAAAAAGAATAGAAAAAAATCAAAGAAAAAGCTAAAATTGTAAGATAAAATAGTAAAAGCAAAATACAAAACAAAGAAAAAAGATAGTATTTTCTTTATAATAGTTATAAGCACAATTACAAATTTACCTCTTACTCTAAGGTTACAATTAAACTCTCTTCAAAAGTCCATAACAGGTTTCTCATCGGCAATAAATTTAGTTCTGTTTTTTTATTTTATAAAAGTAGCCAATGTAGCCATTTCAGCAAGTTGCATTATCTTTCATCAACCATTCCTCCATTGTGGGTAGGGCCAAATATTTCCATCAATCCGAAAGAAAAACCTCTGGTCTCAAATGTATATTAATCTTTAATTTTTTTCTAAATCAGTGTGTATATTTGAATCCATATATTTTTTTAGCTTTTTACACATCCAACAAGCTTGATAAAATGTGTCTTCTGGTTGTTCACATTTCCAACATAAATTTGAACTCCATTTATACATTCATCTAGGCAATTTTGATGGTGGTATATATCTATAGTACATCATTTTATAAAATTATCTATAAAATTATAACACAGTAAAAATTGCAATCCTTTCAACCACATATTTTCAGTCACAGCCACATTCAGATGTGATTGGGAGACTATACTAAGATATATTTTATAAAGATTCTGTTAACATAAAGACACTTAAAACTGTCCAAAAAGGTAGATATTTTAATAAACTAGCATTAAATATAGGTATGATAAAATGTGCAATAATTATCAAAATGATCTAACAGAATGCTTAAATTGTGTTATTGAACCTGATGTAGCCTTATTGTACTCATGTGATACATGTAATAATTGAAATACTAGTTCTAAAAATAAGAGAAAATGTGTGAGCTTGTAATTGTTGTTATTGGATTAATTAAATATTTAACAAATATTTGTTTTATTGATTGTGTTAGAACAGCCCTAATATATGGATATATCAGCTATTGTCTCCATGGGAGAGAAAGTCAATCCACGTGCTTTCACTTTTTGACAATATTACAGAGGGTAAGTAAATAGGTACAGTAATATAGACATAGTTCTCTATCCACATACAGTAGACTATAACTTTCTGAGTTCTCTTGACTCATTGGGAGACAGCTGTCTTGCAAAGCCATTTATCAATTGTGTTCTCTGCTCATTGCAGTCTGCATTTTACCAGCAGGAATTATTTAGATCATGGATGTCAAACGTGCATCGTCATGGCATTGTCACGTCATGTATCATGACTTTTCCCCCCTTTGCTAAACTGCGTGTGGCCATGGCCAGTACATGACGCATCTGCCCCATGGGCTGGGAGTTTGACATCCCTGCTTTAGATCTTTGTGCAGGATACTGTACCTTTGGACTTTTCCAAATCTGTTTCTTTATAAATCTTTATGAAGGATAATTTACATCATGAACTAACCACATTAGCCTAAATGTTTCTGGGCTTCTATTTCATTTGCAAGAAGGTAAATGAGGTAGGTAGTTATAGAAGTCCTCCCCACACCATACACACAAATTGCATGCAATATTGCCTTCTGAATGCTACTTTTTAAATTAAATTTTAATTTTAAAATTTAAATGAAGCAATTTTAAATTGCTTCATTCCATGTTCATTGAAAAATAAATGGCATACTCATTGAACCCATTGGTTTCTGTAAGAAATATTTCAGTTTAACTCCTACTGAAATAATTTCATTTATTATGAAAAATATCAACTACCTACAAGTGTCATCAACCTTCATTTTTGAGTAAATGAATATAATCAGTCAGTCAAAAAAACCACTATGTAAATATTGTCTGGTTAGCAGATCTGAGAATAATTAATAGCTAAACACATACCAATAAAGGGACAATATTTAATTTAATCCACTAAAAACTCTGCTGTTTATGTGAACTGTATTCTTCTATTATTATACTCAGGAGAATACTATACATACATGCAACCACCTTCCTCATTCCATGTTGTTTAACAGAGTTTAATTGGCTTTAACAGGCAGCTTCATATATATCCAAGACAAACTGAGATCATGTATTATACTTAAGGTGTTTTGCACTTCTCATTTCATCTCTCCAGAATTGAAAAGCTTTGGGTTTTTAGGGGAAAGGAGAGGCAATGGGTACCTAAAGTACATGGACGATGCCACAGATGTGATAAGAACAAATGTAAGTACAAGATGCTTTATACAAAATTTATTTTTCAAGATAATAGTCAGCATACTGTTAAGAGTGGGAGATGTTTGCATTGATTTATTACACTATGTGGATTGTTTTGTTGATTATTTTGGGGATTACTTTTTGTACAGTAGAGTTGATAAGAGGGCAAGCTGAAAGAAGGTAGAATGGGGAATTGAATATTTGGAAGAAAACAGTGGCAAGAGAAAGAAAAGTTAAAGATAGAAACAAAAGCTGAATTTGAAGATACCCTACTACACAAAATATAGTCATTCACAGTGGGATAGAGGCAGAGGTGGGTTGGTAATTTTTTACTACCAGTTCGGGGGCGCAATGCTTCTGTGCATGCACAGAAGCGTCTGGGTGGGTGGGCGGAGCCTCTCGCCACCATTACTACTGATCCAGGCCAAACCAGCAGCAACCCACCTCTGGATGGAGGGAGATTTAGTGCATGCTTTGAACCTGACTGGAACTGAGATCTGTGTACAGTAACAGCTGGAGTAACTGGATGCCCAGGAGAAGAACTATACAACTGTTGTGAACTTGAGGAAAAATTGGATTTTAAGCATAAACTGAGTAAGAGGCATAGGTTTGGGTAGGGAGAGTTGGATGCACCTCCCACAATAAAATAAAAGTACTGTAGGTATTGGGCTTTTATACTCATTCAGGTACCTAGTGAGAGGATTTTAGGGGAAGGCATAGAATGTTGTTTTTAAGCAGCTGTTATACCAGGGGTTGGACATTATGGATTATTTAATTAATATTCATAATTTAGCAATAGATTTGAATTTTTGAAATAAGCTATTGTCAGTGGGCAGTCTTACCCATTATGATACATTTTAATTGGGATTTGTAGATTAGGGAAAATTACTGTTTTTGTCCATTAAATATACGAATTTGTGGATCAGCATTATTAATGATCAGTATGTTAATTAATGAACCAATCAAGTTTCTAAAGCTGGTTTATTTTATTTACTAGATAGAAGAATGGGGTCCATTTGATTTTATTTTTGGCTCAACTCCTCCTGTAGCAAAATTTTATAAACATCCATCTGGTAAGCAACCTAAAAAAAGTGACTTAGGACCAGTGGTGAATCCTACAGGTTCACAAATGTGAGCATGCACACGTGCTCACTTTGCTCATATGCACCGTGTCTGTGAATGCGCAGTGCTTACGCATTATGTCGGGGTGGGTAGATGGAGCCTACTGCAGCCGCCGCTACCAGTTTGCCCGAAGCAGAGAGAACTGGCTGAATACTACCTCTGCTTATGACTGTTTTTCACAGTTAAGACCTCTGCAGCATCTACATAATCATGTGATCAATATTTGGAAACTTGGCAACTGGCTTATATTTATGACCGCTGCTGTGTCCCAAGGAAATGTGATCCCCTTTTGCTAAGGTGACCAGACATCCTGCTTTTGGCGAGACAGTCCCGCTTTTGAACAATTTGTCCCGCATCCCGCGGCGTTTTTAAAAAGTCTCGATTTTTTAAAAAAAAATTAATCAAGAACCCCCACCCCCGTCAATGGTGTCCCTCTTTACCAATGTTAAAATCTGGTCACCTTATTCATGTGCCACCTGTGGCACGCATGCCATAGGTTCACCATCATGGTATTAAAGCAACAACTAGTAAGGTCCCTCAAATCCTCCATGCACTAACCTTGCCCTCATTGTGAGAAAAAGGAAAGTGGACCCAGATGTTGCTGAACCACATCTTCAAGGCTTCTTAGGAAATACAGCAATTTTGAGGTACCCTGGAAGTTGTATGTCAAAAACAGCAATAATGCCATAAACTCATTGTGATCATCCAATAATTATAATGATAGATTCACTTTTGAATCACAGATTACACTAGTGAAAACACAGCTGATGATCCAGTCACTTATACTGGCACATCTCTTCCCCTTCCCTCTCCCTCCTCCCTCTCTCTCTCTGTGTAGAATAAAATATTTTTGTCAGATAAAGTGTCAGGTATACATAAAAAATAATGCTGTTCACCTTTACCCAATGGTGGGGATGGACTGCAGTATTTGCAATTGCTAAGTGAAGGTAACACATATCACAAACCAATTTCATTTTTTTGGTACCCTGTAGGATTTCAAGACAGCAACCTAGTGTACTCTGACAAAAGTTTTATATGCCAGTTTAAGCTCAGCAATGGTGACTGCCTTGTTTTGATGGTCTTTATGGCTGAGTGGGGACTTGAATCTGAATCATCTTAGTCCTAGTTGAGACATAACCCATTTGTTCCCACTGTTATTGGCTATTATTTACATAGTAGAATTTGGTGTAGTTGTAAAGGCTATCAAGCTAGAAACCTGGGGACTGAATTGTGCCTAAGAGTTGAAGCCAGCAGGGTGAATTTGGGCCAGACATTCTCAGCCCTAGGAAGCAGGTAATGGCAAACCACTTCTGAGAAACCTTGTCAAGGTGAACTGCAGGAACTAGTACAGACCAGTTATTAGTCCAAAAGTGACTTGAAGGCTCAAATAAAAAAGGTGGGTACCATAAATCTATTAGAGCAATATTATATTTTATGAATTTAAGAATTTTAATATGCACTTCTCTCTTATCATTGCCCATAAACATAGGTTGAAATTGACACTATAGAACTATGGCTGACATGAACCAATTACTAGTAATACAACAACTTTCCCCTTTCGTAGGTATAGTAAATTATTCTAATTTATAAAAGCTGCATCCTAACCATATTGGATGAGAAATTCTGAGAGTTGAAGTCCATGCATCTTAAAATTCCAAAGTTTGAAAAGCACTGCTGTGTGGGATTATTTTAGCCATTGACATTAGTGGCAGTAGCCAAAGAGCTAGATGCCGTTTTGGTGTAACTTCTTGCTATTTCCAGATCCAGGAGTATACCTTCCATCATTCACAATCACCAAAATTGAGAGAGGTTGCTAGATCACTAATCTACATACATAAAACTTAACATTACAGGTAGTCCTTGATTTATGACCAGTCAACAAAACACTATGAGATATTGTAAAATGGAATAACTCCTGTGTCACATGACTGAATTCCAGGTACTTGACAACACTTTTATGACAGCTTGCAACATCTCATAGTCACATTACTACAATTTGTGAATTTTTTTGTCAGTTTCTGGCATTTTTTGTGTTTCCCGATTTACAACCAGGTGATTTACTTAATGATTTCCCAAAAAGCAGTCATAAAATTAGGTTTGATCAAGTGCTTGATTGATTTACAACCATCATGACTTACAATTAAAATCCCAGTCCCAATTGCAGTCATAAGGGTTACCCGTATTATGTGCCAGTGAATTACTGATGTGAGACAACTCCCTAACTGAATGTTATTGAAAAGGTCCAAAATTCTGGACAACTAAGAAAGATCATGTAGTAGTTATCACTTTTTTTAAAAGGCTGTAATTTATTTTTAGAAATAATTTTCAAAAGCTATTTACAAGAAAGCAAACTTCTTTCTTCCTTCTACAGCCTGGTATTTTTACCAATATTTTCGTATACTTCAGTATGGAACTCCTGAAGAAAAAAATAATAAGCCATTTTTTTGGCTATTTGTAGACAACATTGTCTTGGATGAAGAAGAGAGAGATGCAGCTTCTCGCTTTTTTCAGGTAAGTTGGAAATCCGTTGCTATTGGGAAGTGAATGAACCGAGTTTGTATTAAGTATTTAAATACCTAAAATTCATATACAGTAGATTTTTACTGGAACAGTACAAAATATGACATTGGCTCTGCATGCATCCCTGGAGAGATTTCAATTCATCCTGTTGGCATCCATAATGAAACTCAAATGCAAAATCATGTGGTTACAGCAAGCTTGCATTAAAGCTGATTCCCAGTTTGTTCCTAAGCCTCATACAAATGGTCTTGGAAAGCAGTTCTACATTCTCTTTGTGCAGGGATCTGCAAACTTCACGCAGCTTCCCAGACAATCCACAAAGTCCCCTCCCATGATAAAGTTGCCACAGGCTGAGAGCAAAATGGTAATCATTGGAAGTCCTTTATTTCTTCTTCTTAGTATTTTTTCACAAGTGCAAGGTCTGCTTTTTTCAGATCAACTGAATAGTGATCCATTGGTTACAACAAGAATTGACTGACCTGCTTGTTACCTGAGCCTGATATTGTGGGCTTAAAGACACTGGTCCAAAGTTACTCGGCTAGCTTTCATGACTACATCAGAACCAAAACTCAAAGTCTCCTGGCTAAATTAAATGAACTTGTGTACATGTCAGTTTATGACTGTAATGCAGCCTGCCTATTACAGTCACAAGTCATGATAGTCATTAAGTGAGGTGCCCACCGGTGACGTGCGGTGAGGTTTGTGGCTGCTGAGGCAGTCCTCTAAAGCGCTTTCTTTCGCCCACCTGAGCTCTGACAGGCGGGCGAAAGAAAGCAGCAGCTCGCCAGCTCAGGCGGGCGAGTTGGTGGGCTGCCACTTTTTTTTGCCCGCCTCTGTGTCTGCGGCTGCCGCAGACACAGAAGCGGGCGAAAGAAAGCGGCAGCCCACCAGCTCAGAATTCCTCTCCCTCCCTCCGACCCACATACTTTTTCCAGCTCAGTTTCACAGAGGATTTCAACTCTGCTCTCGCCTGCCATCATGAAAATGTAAAAATGTAAAGGAAAAAGGCAAGCGCTGCTGAGGTCAGGCTGGGCTAGCTGCTGCCAGAATCCCCAATGGATGACTCTGCTTAACTGTTTAAAAAAAGCCTCTAAAAAAACCCGCCCTCTACAGGAGGAGGCAAGAGAACCACGTGCCTCATCTACATAAGGAATTTTTCGCCTTTTTATCCTTACTTAACTCTGCTCAAGTGATCATAAAGTCAGACTAAATGAGGCATGTGGTTCTCTCGCCTCCTCCTGTAGAGGGCAGGTTTTTTTAGAGGCTTTTTTTAAACAGTTAAGCAGAGTCATCC